GACAGCGGGCCACCCCAAGTACCTTTGGTACAAATATGAATATAATTGGTCAAGTACTTTTGAAGAAGAAGTCGTTTAAAGAAAAACTTCACACAGGACACAGGATGGACGACGCGGGAGAGACCCCCATACTAACAGCTCCGCGGAGCTAAAAATGAAATGGGATTTAAAACATAAAATAAAACAAGACTTAACAGTTTTTTTAAGGTTTGAGATTAGGCTCCAGACTTGGTCCAGCAGAAGATGTTAGTCATAAAATTACCCCACCCTGGACTCTTAGGACTATATTCTTCTGCAGGGGACCAACACCCTCCCATCAACACTGTCTATGCGCCTTCCAACACATTCGTCAATCTGCTGGACCAGGAGAGCCACACAGTCAGCGTTGCCTTGAATCCCGCATCACCCCTATGGGGTGGTTAACTGAATCGTTTCGAAAAACGGACTGAGGGGCCGCCCAAGCCCACAGGGTCAGACCTCGTTGAACCCCCCTCACTTTATGGAAGTGAGCAAGGAAGTGTCTGATCAAACGCCTGGTAGTTGGGTCGGTCCCCTCCGGGAAGGTCTGTGGGTCAGCGAAGAGGGAGTGACCCCTAGCGGAAGCAGTGCTTTGGGGAAAATCCTTGGTACTGGCTCAGACAGACAATCCTTGGTTGGTAGGAAGTGGGGGAAGAGACGAAATCAACGTCCTGCCTTCCCCTTCTATGTAGGTTTTATCTACACTAAGAAATGAACAAGGCACGCATGAGTGGAATGCAATTAGAGTTGAAACTGGCACAATGAAGCCCTACAAAAGTGGTCAAGTGCGTCATTTGAGTTTTTGCTCCACTTGATCTTTATTTGAACACGTTGATATCATCCAGCATTTTGATTGGTTAATTAGCGATTTGACCTATTAGGTAAACTTATGCAAGAGAAAGAACATGGCGGATATCCTGCAGCATTGAGCGTTTATATGCGACCGGAATTATTTGCTCACGATTAAACTTATATATTTTTTGTACATTATTATAATCATTACTGAGTAATAATCAACAATTGTGAAACGCAGCATAAATATACAGTTTTGTTTATAGTAATATAGCTGGAATATAAACATGTCAGGAATATGATTATGATGATTGTTTAACATTAAAATGATTGACATTTGTATCTGATCGTCAAACAAGTATTGAGAGATATTGCTCTGGAACAGCATTAATTAAAACCAAATCAGCCATTTTGAATACATGTACATTGAAACATAAAATTTGAACATAATCAGTCAAAGCATGTCAGAGATATGGCTCTAGAAGCCCATTCATTAAAACAAAATGGTTGCTAGTCAGCCATCCTGAATCCGATCTGAAAAATACAAGACATGAATGACATAGCCTTCGCTAGTTGTCATTCTAAAGTTGCATTGACATAAATTGGCAAACATGATTTCTATGGCATTTTCAACTTCATAGTATAGCACTCTCCATCCAGGTCAGCATTATTCTCAGCAAGAAAACCAGATAGCACCAAACCAGTACAACAGGTAAAATGACAAGGAAGTATACAAATCAGATCTGCAAATATGTAGAGTCAGTGTTGTGTCTGTTTGGATAAACTAGTTTGTGGCCCTGGATTAGTTTCAATATCTATAATAAGGACAAGATTACTTCTCATACGACAATGATAAAAATAAAGAACAAAAATCCAGAAAAATATTATCAAGTTTTTATTATCATACAATAAGATTAACAAATCTTGTGAAATTTTATGTACAGAGAAACACATCTTTATGCTTTGGTTGACAGAACTTCTCAAAGTAAAAAAAAAAAAGGACCTGCGAAACTTTATACAATTCTCGCGTTTCACAATAAAGTGCGCCCTTGGCGGATAACCTGGAAAGACGCATTTCTCACTTCCGGTGTCGACATCGCAATAATGGCGCCACCAGCAGAGAACGTTGAGAGGCTTATTTGCATGGCGGTCTTCTGTGACTTTAGTTGTCTGAGAGTCCCCGATTTAAAAAAATATTTAACTGATCGTCGTATACCATGTGCTGGGAAGAAGAAAAATGAGTTGGTTGAATTGGCACAAAAAGCAAGCGGTATATACGATGTTATTGAAGACTGTGATCACGATGAATCAGAGAGGAAACGCCGGCGGGTGTTAAATGATGACGGGACTGTTGCTGTTGACCTGAATGGTAAACAAGTGGTGTGGACACGAACACTTCATTGTCTCCCGAAAGTTGCGCTTGGTGACGTGTTTGCGTATTTAATAAGAAACTGCGAGTGGACATCGGAACGACTGACAAAATATAAACACGACGATGGGTATCTTATGTTTAAGGATAACCATGTAGAGGGACGTTCTTTTAGGAAAGGTGTCTGGGCACATAGATCACGTCTATATCAAAGCTGAGGTGAAACCGGAACAACGCCAAACTGCTCAGCGGTACGCAACTTGGCTACTTCTTTCATTAGATGCTGAAGTTATGTCCGCCGGTTGTGGCT